ATGAAAATATATTCAATTTCTCTGGATGAAGATCTTCTGGATCTTAACAGGCAATGCAAAAGTACGGGTCAACAATTTTGAATTACAAAATAATTAAACTTGTTAAAACAGCAAATAGTCTGATATTTTTTTTATTGAGTTGTATTGATTATTATTATCTTTTAATTTAACTATTATTCTTGTTATTATTACTTAAGTCCGTTGCATTTTACGGCTTATATAAAAGCAGGACTTGCAAGACCAAGACTATGTATGCAAGAACAAGATCAAAACCAAGACTTGCTCTTTTAATCAAGAGAAAATCTTGGTCTTGCTTTGCTCATCACTAATTAGTTTGAACATTTTAGAAAGTTTTTCACAATTTAACGAGAAGCAAATATGTAAGTATAGTGTTTGTGTTGTTACACGTTATCAATCGTGAAAGGCATTAAACAATCCCTGTTTATCCAATAAACTTCATAAGGATATATAATGGCGTACGCAGGACTTCATTTTCTCCTTGTTTAAGTAACTTTCCAAAGGGAAAACTAATAAAAACGTATATACTAGCCATAAACGCTAGGCGTATGTAAACAACCCGTCCCTAAAGAAAACAAATTTGAAAATTTTAGGTTAGTTTGTGTTAGTGTCGTTGAATCCAAATGATGGATCCATGACAGGCGTTACTGCGATGAGCCACTCGTACTTTTAGAAATGTTTGAAATTAATTTTTATTATTTAATCAAAAGCTGATTAAGGCAGACGATACTTATATTTACACGAATGTGAGATGCTAAAACTTATAATTAACAGTTTCATTGGTTAAGGTGCGCTACGAAGGTGTTATCTTCATTAAAGGTACCCTGCTCGCTTGGAATCCTACCTGAATTCTGAAAAAACAGCAGATTATTTAAAGTTCCCAACCAACCGACAAAAACTTACCAGAATCCTGCCCCTATCCTCAATCAGACTGTAGGCGAAGTGATTGATGCGAATGGATCGAGGTAATGCGACGCCCTGGAACCGATAGATCGGCTCCTTAATGTCCGTATCCAGCTTGATAGCGTTGGTCACGGTGACCCGCCCCATTTGGTTGGTGTTGGGCAGCATGGGACCTCGACTGATGTCGATGTGAGACCCCACCTTAAACAGCGTCACTTTGTTCGAGTTGTGAGCGGCAATGTCGGGAATTTGCTGCGATTTGTGCGGATTGTTTTCGAATATTTCCAGAGCCGTGTTCCTGTCCACGTCCAGACATTCGATCGGTTGCTCTTTCTGGCAAAATTTGATGAATTCCAAAGAGAGCACCTTGAGCTCGGCCACGGTGGGTTCCCAGTTGCTCAAACCCAGTTGCACGTCGTAGATAAAGCTGCCGGATTTCACTAAAATTCACCGGTTACTCACTCCGATTACTCTCCTTCATAGAAAACATACCGTTAGGGCTAGGGAAACTATGCAGGTGAACCTGCACATTGTCTTTGAACGCCTGCGACACAACAGCGCCCAGCAAAAAGCTGCAGGTTCTCCAGAACACTTTATTAACCACCTGGGGGTTCGGAACATGGTGATGCAGCAATTCTAGCACGCAGGAGTCTGGAAGGGGCTTGTGCATGTGCCACAGGGTTTTGCCGTTCAGCAGCCCCACCACAGACCGCTCCCGGACCATTTCGCCCAAATCTTAAAACAATTACAAGTCGCAAGGTCTAATAGCGTTCGATTTCGCCCACTTACGTTTGGCACAGTCAAAGGGGGTGGAAATGTTCCTGTTCATTACAAAAACGTCGTTCTCGTGCTGGACCTCTATTTTCTCCACCCGGCCCACTGCTTCCTGTTGTCGGTTTTTCTCAAAAGCAAAGATCTTGCACTGGCGTTCCAGCTCGTCCACACTGGACGACAAACATCCTAAAATTCGCAGTGGATCACCAAATTTTCAAACCCCCCAGCGGGTTCCACTTACTCCGAAGGGTGCTGTTGATAAGTTTGGGCCCCATTCGGCTTCTAAAGGAGTTCAAAGCCATCTTTATAAGAAGCCCCAAATCTTTGGTTAGAATGTTAAGTTACTAGGTTGGTTTCAGCTTCGAACTTCAAGAAAAAAGGAAGAAATCCTAGAAGTTTGTTGACATCAGTTTCAACAAAACCTTAATTTGCAGCGTTTTTCAACAATTACCACTAGTTGTTTTGTGGTTTTCTCACTTGCCTTGTTTAATAAGCGAATATTTGGGCTGATTTAAGGCGCTGCACCGGTCTGCACTATGTCACTGAAAAGGAAGCCCGATTCTCAAGTGCCAGCCGAGGAGAGTGACCAGTTAACCATCAGACCCCTGTAAGTCTTTGGGGGCACATAGTGCGAGCTTTTGTATATTTTGCCTTTTTAGGGGCGCCGGGCAAGAGGTCGGCCGGTCATGTATCATGGTGGAGTTTAAGGGCAAGAAGATTATGGTAAGTGTTTGTGTAGTTTTGAAAGGCATTTATATTAATTCAATGTTTGTTAGCTGGATTGTGGCATTCATCCAGGGTTGTCTGGGATGGACGCGCTGCCCTACGTAGACCTGATTGAGGCCGACGAGATCGACCTACTTCTCATATCCCAGTAAGAGTCGACAATTGATTGGTTGGCATGTTTTAACAGTTTTTTGCAGCTTTCATTTGGACCATTCGGGCGCGCTGCCCTGGTTCCTGTTAAAGACCAGCTTCAAAGGGCGCTGCTTCATGACCCACGCCACTAAGGCTATCTACAGATGGCTTCTCTCCGACTACATCAAAGTCAGGTAAGCATTCGAGCCTTCGCTGACGAGTTTCTAACAGTTCCTGATAGTAACATTGCGACGGAGCAAATGTTGTACACTGAGGCCGACCTGGAGGCCAGCATGGACAGAATCGAAACCATTAACTTCCACGAGGAAAAGGACATTATGGGCATTCGATTTTGGGCGTACAACGCTGGCCATGTGTTAGGCGCTGCCATGTTCATGCTGGAAATTGCTGGAGTTAAGGTAACCGCTCAAAGATCACAGAGCCACGGTCTGCATGCTGTTTGTTTGCTAGATACTGTACACCGGGGACTTTTCAAGGCAGGAGGATCGGCATCTGATGGCGGCAGAAATCCCCACAATCAGGCCGGATGTTTTGATTACGGTGAGGATTACAGACTGAAGGTTTTCTGGCGCCGATTTAAGTGCAAGCTGGGTTCTAGGAGTCCACATATGGCACGCATATCCACGAGAATCGGGACGACCGCGAGAACCGCTTCACCTCGCTGGTACACGACATAGTAAACAGGGGCGGCCGTTGCCTGATCCCAGTGTTCGCGCTGGGCAGAGCTCAAGAGCTTCTGCTAATTTTGGACGAGTACTGGGGTCAGCACCCGGAGCTGCACGACATTCCCATTTACTACGCCTCATCGTTGGCGAAAAAGTGTATGGCCGTCTACCAAACGTACATCAACGCAATGAATGACCGAATCAAGAGGCAGATCGCTATCAGCAACCCGTTTATTTTCAAGCATATCTCAAATCTAAAGGCAGGTGCAGAATAAGGCTTTTAAAACAGGTGGTTAATCACAGGGTAGCTTTCAGGGCATTGATCATTTCGAGGATATTGGGCCTTGTGTGATCATGGCCTCTCCTGGTATGATGCAAAGCGGCCTGTCCAGAGAGCTTTTCGAGTCCTGGTGCACTGATTCGAAGAACGGCGTCATAATCGCAGGTAATTCGTCGAAAATTGCTCGATGCCAAACAGTATGCTTCCGGTTTCACTAGGTTATTGCGTGGAGGGTACACTAGCCAAGACCATCCTGTCCGAGCCCGAAGAAATCACCACGATGAGCGGCCAAAAGCTGCCCCTGAAAATGTCGGTCGATTATATTTCATTTTCCGCCCACACGGACTACCAGCAAACCAGCGAGTTTATTAAGATCCTGAAGCCGCCCCATGTGGTACGTTTGCTGATTGAAACAGGCATTCAATGGCCTAAATGTGTTTTGCCAGGTGCTGGTCCACGGAGAGCAAAACGAAATGTCGCGCTTAAAAGCGGCGTTGCAGCGCGAATTCGAAGAGGATCAGAACACCTCCATTCAGCTGCACAATCCGCGCAATACACACACAGTGGAGCTGTATTTTCGCGGCGAAAAAACAGCGAAAGTTATGGGAACGCTGGCCGTTGAAGAACCGCAGCCGGGCAAGCTGATCCAGGGCATCTTGGTGAAGCGCAACTTTAACTACCACATCCTCAGCGCAGATGACCTTGCCAGTCAGTACTTTGCAACTTTGTTGGTAGAGCGGGTGGCATCATTTCTAAGCTTTTACAGAATATACCGAACTGAGTCTGAGTGAAATCACGCAGAGGCAGAGTCTGGCGTATTCGGGTAACCCGGGGGTGTTGCGCCACCTGCTGGCACAGGTGTGCGGCCTGATGGAGAACCTGGAGGGCGATAAGCGCATGAAGGCGTTCAACGCCGTCGAGATCATCATCGAACCCAAAATGGTCATTCTCGAGGTAAGTAAACTAATATGCAAAATGGAATGAGAACGACACGCGCTCTAGTGGGGTTTAGTGGGTGGCCAATCCGGTGAACGACATGTACGCTGACGCCATCGTCGCCGCCGTGCTTCAAGCGGATTTGCTGGACACGCCCACTAAGTGTTTGGCAACCAGCGTCAAAGTGGACCGAATGCATTTCAAGGTAAAAACCATACACATATCGACCACAATGGCTACTAACCGCCACCATTGCAGGAATGCCTGATCGAGATGCTGCAAGACATGTTTGGGGAGGATTCCGTGCCGAAGATCTTCAAAGGGGAAAAGCTATACGTGAGCGTCAACGACAAGAGGGCCGACATCGATCTGACCAACTTGGTAAGTCGTCCTAATGAAAGTTCCTGCTTAATCTCCGTTGCTTTGCGGGCTTGCAGGAGGTGAAATGTCCGAACGACGAAACGTTTCAGCAAATCGTCCAAACGGCCGTGTCCAAGCTGTACCAAAGCTTAGCGCCCCCTCAACTAGACGGGTGACTGTGATTACTTGACTTATCTTTATATTTACATTTTTTTTAAGCTGGCGATTAAAAATAGTTTTTTAAATATATTGATGAATAAAAAATGACTCACAGTTACGATCAACGACAAATGACAGCGCAACTTTCATAAAGTTGGAGGTATAGCCGGCAACACAGCATCAGTTTCAGTCAAAACGTCGTTTGGCACATTGACTGATCAAGTTAAAAGTTAAATGCTCACAAAGACGCGAAATTTCATAGAATTAAACACTCGAATACAGCGTGATCAGAAACTTAAGTAAATGTTTCTAGAAGTCAATGCAACTGAAAGTGTCCCAGTCCTACAGGACTTTGAAATCTTTGCAAAGGAACATGAACTCTGAATTTGAGGCCATTTGACTAAAAACACGGTCATTGGAAATAAGCGAGTCATTTAGGGCCCTGAAATTGGTTAAAAATTGGATATTATAACACTGACTTATCTTCCGTCCATTGCAAAAATTGGACTTTGACAGCTGTCTTGTTGTGTCAATTGTTTAGGAATATCAGTGATAGTGATATTCAGCGGCAACAAAGTAATTTTGTTCAACACAACTCTTTGCTAACTTTGGGGCAAAGTAACAACGAGCTCCTAATTCTGAACATGTTTATTATCTAAAGGAGTTCAAAAACAAACTTTTGCAGTCCTGACTTATATGCAATACAGATACTTGAGATACATAAGCAAGTAGGCAAGAAACCAATACATAAAAATCACTGCCTTGATTCGTCGCAACTTCCACTTGCTTTAGTTGGTGTTGGGATGGGTATACGGTTGGTTTTTACACATTCAACGACTATATTACGTATGTTTTGCTTGTTTTCGTCTACAAAAGAGGATATTTTGTCCACTTTGGACTACCGTTTCTTTGTAAAGATTCAAATACATAAGAAATAGACGAACTTAGCTTGTGAACGCTAATAACCGAAAAGCTACAATAACATTACTTGATTTCGAAACGATTTACAAAAAGATATATTTAGTGTGCGGGTGGAAGGGGGCGTAAACTAAATAAAAAAAAACAATTGACTAGATTTTTAAATAAATCAAAATCCAATGACTCGATACTATGCAACACAGTACGTTAAATACTTACAAATGTATTTTATTTAATTTATACACAACAATGTTTACCGCGTTTTTAGACAACTGGTGCCGCATCGATCTAGGCAGTCATTTGTGCCAAGTCGCCTCTGTTTTGTCTTGATATGTTCGATTTTTCTTATAAAACATCGAAAAGATTGCGCTCGGCTCTCGAGAGATGAGAGCTTGCAACTCACCAGCGAACTAAGAAAGCGGTAACGCACATTACTAATAATCACCGACTAGAATGGATGATTGCGTCTCACCGTGACATAGAAAACAGCTTGATTTTGCTTGCTATACAGTGATCGAGTTGTGTTGGGGATTCCCAAAGAATGAAACAGTCGTTGACAGTGAATCGTTGATGCGAATGTTCCTAAGACGGCGATTCTTGTCAACGGTTCAACATCAAGTATCCGTGTTCGGAATGTTTGACATAAAATGCACATTACCACTTGGTTAAAAGGCCCAAAAAGACCAGCGTGTCACTATTAATAATCAATAGAACAATGCGAATGATAGTTTACGTTACTACATAAATGACTGAAGCTACTTTAATTATTAGTATTTAAGCGCCATATACTTTTATGTACATTTATATAATAATATGGTATATTATTATTATAGTTTAATGTCTCAGGTTGTTTGTATCGGTGGTTCCGTGAAGGTACTGAACCGTTTTACGAGAGTGCGCCAGGCGACGCTCCGGTCGTATCGTCCAACATTTGTCTACTTGAGCTTAGAATTAGGTTTGGGTCCATACAGATAAATAATGTGGCCTTGTACACTTAACAAATCATATGAATAGCCACTGTCATAGTAATTTTTTTGGTAATTCTAACTAAACTAGCCTTAGACGAACATAAATAACATCAATTTTTCACCTTAGCTTAAATAAATAATTTACAAACAAGCCTTTGATAATGTAAATGCAACCTCTCCACGAATGGCACAATGATCGTTTGTACAAAATATTCACAAAAATAGGACTCGTAACTGAAAAAAGTCAACTTTGTGCTTGATAGTTTTGTACACATTTGCTTTTATCAAAATTCAGCTATAAATGATGGGGGTGCGCTTGCTATGCTTCGTGCTACGCGACTGAACAATGCGATTTGGTTCCCTGACAATTGTGCATGACGTTGAGTGGAACGGGTTTGTTAGTGCGTGCAGAAAAACGGCAATTTGTCGCCCACAGTTGCTGGGATTGAACTAACTCGAAACTGAAACTGACGCCCTTCAGCCCTTCTGCACGCACTCGCGCACAATTCACATAAAATATACAAAAATAACATACTTAAACTAGACATCTTTAAACGAAACAACAACACACATTCGCTCGGGCTTTTGCGCTTCACCCACTCCAAGTCACTCGCACATTACGCGACATCCAGACAGACAGACAGGAAAGACGGTTGGTGGTTTAATTGAAATGCTAGAAGAGAGGGGGTGATACGCACGCGCTCAGCTCGCCTGCAGACGCCGGGACAGTCTCCGGACGTAACACGCGATCATCCGAGCTGGGCTTACTCACTGGCCCGCCCCCTACAGCGGGTAAGCCAGTAAGTAAGTTGCGCAGCTATGGCCTGTATAAAATCGACCAAGCCGGCAACTTAATACAGGCCACAGTTGCGCAAGTTGTTCGCAATGATAACGTCTGTCACGGCGTCGAAAACGAACTGGATGTTGTGCGTATCAGTGGCGCACGTCATATGGCAGTAGATCTCTTTGTTGGTCGACTTGTTTTTCGCCTCGAATTGCGCCTGGATGTACGCGGCCGCCTCACCGTACTCTTGCGCACCTGCCGGAAGAGAAATCGTCTCGGACCTCAACACACTCTATGGCCAGAGATTAGTTGAGAGATCGCCGATGCCGTGTTAAAAAAGTGTACCGGAATCTACCATTGCGCCACTGCGGCGGGCACCCCGAACTATGACTACGTTGAAGCAGCGTAGGAGAGGTAAATA